TGTGTGTGTGTGTGTGTGTGTGTGTGTGTGTGTGTGTGTGTGTGTGGTGCAGTTAGTTTCAATGCAGTCTTTTTGTTTTGCTGAACTTGCATTGTTGTACTCCATTTAAGTCTGATCTCTGCTTTGAATCCTTTGGATAAGTTGTTACTTTTTATCTGAGAACATTGCACTATTTTTGTTCCAGTTTCATAAAATAGCAAAATAAATTGTTTTTTTTTTTAAACTGTTTTAGTGATGTCCTACAGGCAGTTTCTTTTTTCAGAATTAATTTATCCTTACCTATGTGCTGTGGTATTTTAATATTCACAGTAGCATTGACAGCAGTGCCAAATGCACACTAATTTTCTTGTATTTCTACACGACAGGCAGTATTGATAGCACCTTCAAAAATCTGCAACCGTAACACCTAGAAGGATATGCAAACTACAGCAAGTTTCCCACAAAGTCTCTCACCATTCTGGCTTGGAACGATATTGCTTTCCTTTCCGGTTGCTAGGTATAAATGCTGGGACTCTCTTCCCAACAGCTCTCTGGGTGTAGCTAGGTTCAAGAACACAGCTCACTACCTTCTCAGGGTACTTTGGAATTTCAATAAATGCTGACCGAGCTGATGATGATTAACATCTCATGAATTAATAAAATATACTGACCTAAAGATTAAAACTGAATACTGATCTGAGACATGCAGCCTAGCCTTCCTGTGATTCCCATTACTGATTAGCTTTTAATTGTAGATTTATTAATAGAGTTTAAAGGCAGTGACTTTTTTTAATGAAGTGGGTGAACAGTCCCAGGTACGTGCGCATGAGATGGGATCATGGTACTTGCAGGGGTATGGATATGTATGTTTTAAACACGATACTGAGTGTTTTGTGGGTGTCAGCAAATCTCAAAAACAGAACTCAACCTGTAACATAGAGAAAGCTTTTACAATGCTACATTTTATTCATTTTCCTATAATCCGCAAATCTACGGATCTTTTACGCATTGTACACAATTTATACAATGACAAGGACAGCGAAAAGCACTGTTCAACTTCGAAAGATGATAATCATTGAAACAATTACACAGATGTATACCAGCTCAGGAGATATGACGCTTTTGGCCATTGTAATAACAGTAGCATCTCATTTGATACTGACAAGTAAAAGCTCCACATCACCAAACACTTTAGATCTGCCTGTGAAATGCGGGTGCTAAGATGTTTACTAAAAATTCTATGTGCAGGTGATAAGCCAAATTACGTAGTTATTGAAATTACAAGAGCACAACAAATTTTGGAAAGTAACACTCAGACTTGTCTGTGATCAATTTAAACCCTGTTTGCTGCTTGTGATCAGTGTTTTTGTATAGAAGAGATGAGTTTTCTTCAGCGTGTTCCAATTTAATTTCAGTAACAAGCTTTTCAGTTCTTTTAAAATAAAGTTAGTGTGACAATGAACAATATTAAATTTAACATGCAACATCTTACACTTGGGGAATTATACTTCAATTTGAAGTTACAAAGAGCAGAGAAATATAAATAATTCACAAATGTGAATAAAAATGCAATTTGGAGGTGTTCAGATTCTTTAAACATAGTACTCTGGATTGAAGCTTTTAACTACAGGTATTTTTTTTAACCCTTTCTTTCCAGGAGGCATTAACTTGTTGCTCAGGTACAGTTGCAGGGTTCCATTATCCTGTTTAAGTAGCTATTTCTTACTGAGGAAGGCAAATGCAATGTTAGTATTCATTTCAAGAGGACTAGAATACAAGAGCAGAGATGTATTGCTGAGGCTGTTTAAAGTTCTGGTTAGACTGCATTTAGAACATTGTGAACAGTTTTGGGCCCTGTATCTAAGGAAAGATGTGCTGGTGTTGGAGGGAGTCCACAGGAAGACTACAAAGAATGATTCCAGGGCAGAAGAGCTTGTCATATGAGGAGTGGTTGAGAACCCCAGGTCTGTACGGGATGGCATTTAGAAGGATGAGAGGAAATCTCATTGAAACTTACAGAATACAGAAGGCCTCCCACTTTCCAACCATCCCTTTACCTGCAAACAGCCTCCCCCAGTCAACTTTTGAAAGTTCCTGCCTAATACCATCAAAATTGGCTGAAAATCCAACTTAGAACTGTAACTGCTAGATCAGGCCTATGCTTATCCATAACGATTTTAAAACGGGTAAAATTATGATCACTTGACACAAAGCGCTCCACCACGGACACTTCAGTCATTTGCTCTGGCTTATTTCGAAACAGAAGGTCAGGTTTTGCTCCTTCTCTAGTAGGTACATTCACATATTCAATAAGAAATTTTTTTTGTACACCCTTAAATTCCTCTCCATCCAAGCCCTTCCAACTATAGCTGTCCCAGCCTGTTTGGAAATTTAAAATCCCCTAACATTATAACCCTATTGTTCTTCAGATATCCAAGATCTTCTTACATATTTGCTTCTCAATTTCCCACTGACTGTTGGGATATCTGTTGTACAATCCCAATTAGGTGATCATCCCTTTCTTATTTCTTAGTTCTAACCATATAACTTCACTGGCTGTTCTCCTGGAATATCCCCCTGAAGTTCAATCATAATGTTATCCTTAACCAAAAATGCCATTCGCACTCCTCTTTTCTGCACCCCCACATCCTTCCTGTAGCAATAATACCCCAGAACATTAAGCTGCCAGTCCTGCTCCTCCCTGAGCCATGTTTCTGTAATAGCTATGGTATCCCAGGCCCACATTCCCAACCATGCCCTGTGTTCATCTGCCTTACCTGTCAGGCTTCTTACATTGAAATAAATGCAGTTAATTTATCAGTTTTACCTCATTCTCTGCCGTGCTCTTGCCTGCCTTACTACACCCTGCCAAACCCCTCTTACTAGTTTAAAGCCTCCCGGGTAGCACTAGCAAATCTCCCCAACAGGATATTGGTCCCCTTCCAATTCACGTAGAACCTGTCCTTCTTAGACTGGTCACTTCTACCCCAGAAGAGACCCCAATAGTTCAAAATGTGAATCCTTGCCCTTTCACCAGGTCCTTAACCACACATTCAGCTGCCTATCCTCCTATTCCTACTTAGTACTGGAAGTAATCTGGATATTACCAGCCCTGAGGACCTACATTGTAACCTCCTGCCTAGTTTTCTATATTTTCTCTGCAGAACCTCGTCCCTTTCTCTATCTATCTTGTTGGTGCCAACATGCACAACAACCTCCTGCTGGTCACTCCCCGCTTTCAGAATATTCTTCCTTGACCCTGGCAACCAGTGAAGAAAGTCCCCTATCACAGTTGATTGCATGCAATCTGATTATACATACCACTCTTTATAGTACAGCCAGTCACAGTACCAAAAAGCTGGCTGTCAGTACTATACTCCCCCAAGAGTTCATCACCCTCTACAGCGTCCAAAACAGCATACTTGTTGGAGATGGGGATAGCCACAGGAGATTCCTGCACTACCTGCCTACCTCTCCTAACTTTCCTAGCGGTAACCCATCTATCTGTGGTTTTTCAACATTTTCTAAAATTATCATCCATCACTCTCCTACACCAGAACGACGAGTCACTGCTCTGATTTCTGATTGATGAATTCAACCAACTGTACTTCTGAAATTGGTAATAGATATTTACAGTTTGTGGTTACAGTTTGATGTTTGGAAGTAGACTTCTCAAAAGACTGAGTATCTTAACAAGAAAATTTGAAGTGAATTGGTACGATCTCCATATCATAAACATTAATAGCTAAATCTGGGATCTTTCAAATTTGGTATCTATGCATAAAGGTCATGGTTATGGTAAATCCCAAAGGGTATTAAAACTTTAGGACTCTATCCTCTAAAAACAGTAATTGAAGCAGCAGCAGGTTGAAAATGTCAATATTGACAATGGTAGAGTTTCATTTCAGTAAGATTAAGGGTTGTTGGAATCAAAGATTAAGATAAGGATTAGCAATGGGTTATGTGTTAACTGTGACTCATTTGGTGTTGTATATGGGTCTAAAAGGGTTAATATTAGATTGCATGCCAATATTGTTAAAGAAACCTAAAACCTGTTCTGTCATTCAAGATGATCATGGCTGATCATCTAAAATGGTACCCTGTTCCTGCTTTCCTCCCATGCCCTTTGATTCCTTTAGCCCTAAGGATAACACCTAACTCCTCCTCAAACATTCAATGTTTTGGGCTCAACCGCTTTCTGTGGCATAGAATTCCACAGGCTTACCACTCTCAGGATGAAGAAATTTCTCCTTAACTCACTCTTAAGTGGCTTACCCTGTGTCCTTTTAAACAATGCTCCCTGGTCATCGGGAACATCCTTTCTGGGTTTACCCTGCCTAGTCTTGTTAAAGTTTTATGTTTCTGAGATGTTGAGCTTCTTGAGTGTTGTTGGAGCTGCACTCATCCAGATAAGTGGGGAGTATTCCATCATGTTCCTGGCTTGTGCCTCGTAGATACTGTAGGAAAAGTAAAGTAGGGTCTCTTGAGAGATGGTCCTAAGGCCTGCATGTCCCAACAATATTTGTAGTAATGATAGCCTATTATAACCTATAAGTCACTGCAAAGCTGTAATAAATAACTTCTACTCCACAAGATTTTTCTCTTTGGATCAAAAAGTGGATAACCTTGCATACATTAAACCACAGACGCTCCTAAAAATAACATACTTAGGAGTTGATATTAATGTTATTTCTGAGATTAGACGATTGTAGGTTTTAATTTTACTCTAGCAACATACAAATAAAAGCTTTAACAGAGACTCCTCCACAGTATTGACAGTACTGGGGGTATACTGCACTGTTGGAGCAGCTGTCTTTCAGATGAAATGATGAACCAAACTATGTCTACACACCTCAGGTGGATTTGGAAGATCCCACAAAATCAGAGAAGAGCAGAGAAGTTAAACCTCAAACAAAATCAGTGTCATTGGTTTATTCTTCATGCTTCTGGGGTGAGCTTTCTGGGCACAAATTGCCTGAAATGTTCCCAAACAGACAGAAGTGAC